GTGATATTTTTCAAGAGACAAAGTCCAAACCATTACTTGTGAAACCACAAACCAATGTAATTTTGCAATTTTAAACTTGACTTGAATATTTTGGTCCATTAATATGAGTTTCTACAGCACATGGCAGAGGTGGTCCATGAAATTTGGCATTTTTGGCTAACTGAAATCTCCAATGGGAATAAATTATGAATCAAATCTTTTTAAGGCAACTGTCTGGCCTATGACCTCGTAGCGGCGCAGGTTATGGATGTCAATCCGAACAATGAAATGAAACTGAAACCTGGGATGATATCCTTTGTACATTTTTTGAAGGCATTCATTTTTACAAAGACTGACGCAAAACGATCGTTTGAGTAGAGACTTTCAAGTTCTGGTTAGAACACTTTTTTTTAAGTTTCCAAAGGTGAACCTATGGATGATTAAAATTAAAACGAGGTAGTTTCTTGTAATGTGCCCAAATGCACATGCATGAGGTCATTGCCCAATTCTTGTTTTGCCTAAAGTCGTTTTCTCGTAGCGTTTTATGGGGTTAAGGTCTTGGTGGAGAACGACGCTGGCGTGTAAGTTGCCTTAGTGTTTAAGAGGCAAAGAAGATGCGTGGATGTAATCAAGTAGTTTGCATTACACAGAATGCCATGTTTGGAACGAAAAGCAAAACCATGCACCAATTATCGAATCGAAGTCTTTTTAGCAGCATAGATTTATTCCTACAATGAAGTTTGTAAATTTAACGCCTATACCAAGGGTAAAGTTGCCAATGGAAACGAGACAATATTCAGTTGTTAGTGAAAGATGAAGAAAAACTCACTTCTTAGAATGTCATGCGAATTCGTGGCCGACTGCAGACGGATTACTGCGAGTCATTTGCTATCCCCTTCGTATATTCGAGCAAGTAAGCGAAAGTAACGTAGCTATCATCCATGCAAAAAGGCATATTTACAACGGTCTATACGTCTATTTAAAAAAGTCGTCACAGAGCAATTCACTAGCGTTCTACGAATTGGACGTAAACAAAAATGCATTGACACACTTTCAGGGGTCATCGAAATTCACGCCGATGGTGGGGAGCTAAGGGGTTGATCACACAGGGCTGTTTTGTTGTACACCGAGGGCAGACAACTTTCGAAGTGCGCCAGTACTTGGGGTAGCCGAAGGGGTCGTGACAGTCCCTCTGCCTGGGGTATTATCTCAACTACCTGCTCATTCAATCGCACTTCCAGACAGTAGTCGTTCAACGATGGCTCCTCTGCAAACAGAAAACGTACAAGGAGATCGACGCTCCGCCAACCTGTATTATTGAAATTCTAGGGAACCTCTCAAGGGTGCCAAAATGAAAAATAAAATGCATGAACTACTAGAAGTTCTGGTAAAAAGTGGAGAACAATTAACCACAACAGCCGAAAAACAAAAGCTGTCTCAAGCCAAGAACACTACATATCTGTTTTATCATCATCTCGGTCGAACCATCGGCGGCGCATGACTTGATGAAATTAGCTGTCATAGTAAATTGGTGAGAAAAACAAGTCGCAGGCCAAAAAAGTTATTCAGATTTCCTAGAAGTACCATGGGAAAGAAAAACCAAACTTCACAAGTACCTAGGGATTGTGTATTCGCTAGCATTACTGAAATATCAAACTATGGCGCAGAATCCGTTTAACGAAGGTTAAATTGCAGCCAAAAGTAGTTCCTACGGATCAAAAACCTACGTCGCTCACCATCAAGATTGGGACAATAGAAAAGGTAGAAGACTAGGTTTCCAGCGAAAGGGATGATGTGTGAAGAACGGAAGAGGTTCGTTACTGGCAAATCCTCCAGCTGAAGACGTTTCAAACGCGACTGAAAACCCGCGGCGGTCAAATGCTCTCCACCACCAAACTCTGAGGAGACGGATTCGTTGAAAAGATTTAATTTCGTCACCAATGGCAATAGGGTTTCCGCATGACCAAACCAAAAGACACTGCGAGGGGAAGATTCTCTCTTTAGCTTGCTCACATCGTATCCATCCCTGGCGAGAAGGAATTAGACATTGCAATTTACCCACTTTTTCAATGTTCA